ATGAACTAGCCCAAGGTACTCACCTTATAGGTACTAAACTCCAAATCCAGGTTTCTGGGAAATACTTTCGGACTGTCTCTGTCACCACTGCAGGACTGCTTGATGTCTCATAAATTGTATCTCCCAGAAGGCCTGAATGTCATGAGATGGAAAAAAAATCAACTACTGATAACTCCAAACAAGTAAGACATGTATCAGCATCATGCTTCAGTCTTAAAAGTGTCAATCTATGTGGCAATCAGCAGTAGATGCTTGTTGTGGCTGTAGAGAGCACCAGTACCAACAGCAGCGAAGTTTCAGGTTCAGTGCTTATTAGCAAGAAGACCTAGTCTTCCATTATTTACTGCTGGAAAGAGGATCCAGAGGATCTCAAAGTTTGCAGGGCAGCACTTTACAATGTTTAAAAAAAGTATTTAGAGCAAACACTTATTTAGGACCTTCTGTGCAAACAGCCTTTTCCCTTTTAGGTACAGCCTTGATGTCACCATCTCCTCCATCCTAACAGGCCAGCTAGCAATCGAACATCCCTCTGTTGCAGCTTTTTTTGCAGGGTCATTGTGACTCAGAAAACCACCTTCCTGCCAAAGCTATGGTCTCCTCAAGAACTAGGATGAAGATGCTCAAAGTAAAAACATGTAGCTGAAATTTGGGAAGGGTAAAAAGGACTATTTTGACTAAAACAAAGTTTTCACATACAAAAATTATTCTCAATGGAATATTCTGTGTTTGGGATGAAATTTGGTAAAAAAACTGTTTTACTTCGGTTTTGAAAAACTGGAAAACGAAGATGGGTGGGTGGGACTTGCTTTGCCTGGCTTTTACAATCAGAAAGAAAAATGTATCCAAACAGATACACAAGAAAAATTCTTAGTTTGGTCATCTTTACTTTGGTTAAATTAATTTCTGCATTTGGATAACAATTGTGTAGCTAACAAATATTCCTACTATTTGTGAAACAGGCACCTCCAGAACCCAAGAAGGTCTTAGGGTTCAATTGAAAAAATCTATCAGAGGTATATCACATACCTCCTAGCAAGTGACAGGTGGCTTGCTTTTATTTGTCTCTTGTGGTATTTCAGTCTTCTTACTGCTGCCTATTTCAGTTTACAATATTTAAAAAGCATCTATCCTGTATCTTAGCAACTTGTGTCAGAAGTTGAAATTGTTTTCAAACTGGACATCTACAAAAGCACAGGTTCTTGTGCCAAGGGAAAACTCTGAATCAGTTATCCATATAGAATAACTTGTAATTTCTCAGATATTTCCCTTTATATGAGACTATGAAGAATGGTAAGGCCAATTCTGTTGCCCAAACAGTTACAGAGTTAGAGTTGAGATAGCCCTTAGAAATAGAATGGGTCCATGTCAGACTGAACTTCTACCACACATATCTTATCATTCCCAAGGTCTACCAATTTATCACTGAAAAATTTTTCACCCACTTCGTGGTTTTGACCCTACATAAAACTGGCTCAATGTCAGAGAACAGCCTGAAAATGGTATTGGAGGTTCTTTAAATGATAATCTGGGAAAAGGAGTCTACTGTAAAAGCCTAATGAATTCATTAGGCTTTCAGAGAGAATTCAGCAGCAGAATAATACCCTCTGCTCTGCCAGAGTCTTTGAAAACTGCCTGGTTCTGCTGACTTCTAATGTGGAGTTATCAAAGTTTGTCTGTAGACCTTCAGAACCCAGTAAAACCCAAACAGAACCTGAAATCTGTGAATGCATCAGTTCAATACTACTTTCCAAGGTTTCAATTCCCAACCCCAGCTCTTGTTTAAGGATTCACCCTGAAATACAAACAAGCTCTCCGTTCAGAAGAGAAGTGATAGCAAAACCCAGTTCCTTTACCACTTGTCCTCATTGCATACATAGGTGCTCCAGGTGCGCCTGCTGCAAGGCCAGCTTCTGGAAGGACGGAGTAGCCGTAATTTACAGGGCTGCAGTACCAAGGTTTCCTTACCCTGGTATTTGTGAAGACCTTTAAACCCATAGCCTATGGGAGAGAAACCAAACACATTTTTTTATTGCTGAATCCTGTTGAGGTTTACACAGCAGACCTGACTGTCTCAAAATGGAAAAGTTGCTACTGTGTGTGGATTGGACCTTGACACAATCCCCCAGACCTTGGGTCTGAGTGTCTGGGTGGCTCAGAGAGACCAAAGGATATATCCCCTCTGTTTCTGGGACACAGGTTCCAGTCCAAGTCTAGTCTAGGGGTCAGGATGAGCCAGGGAGTAGATATAGTTTTCTCTCTGGAAGGAAATGTCTGTGACGACAGTGCAGCTCAAGGGCATATTGATTTATTCAAGGTAACTAATGGCATGGAATTATTTATCCTCAGTTAGAATGTCATTTCAAGTCAACCTCAAAGCTTTTCCTGTGAGAAGAAAACTTTGAGACTGCTTCCTTTTCCAGCAGAGCAAAGCTGGCAAGACAAGTAAGGTCTATGACTCTCACTGAGCGTGCCTCTGGATAAAAATTAGTGTCAGATCATTCAGATTCACAAACCCTTCCCTTGTGACATTGCATGATGCCACAGAAGGCTTAGGCATTCTCAGTCATTCTCCCACTCCACTCCCTAACCACACAAGAGGGTTATACCTTTAGGATGCTATAAGTGTCGTCTTCATTCCTCCCTGTTACTGGAACATAGGTGATCCCATCCACAACTATTTGCTTCATGGGAGTGCAATTGTCCAGGGGATCCTCAAAGAGCATGTTTAGATCATGCTGATAGCCATGCAATTCCTTCACCGGCAGCAAGTTATACACCTAGGCAGAAAGAGACAAAGTATTTGGCATTTTTATTTTCCACTGTTATAAAACACAACTCAGGAAGTTGGATGAAAGCATCACAGCAGTCACATCATGAGCATATACATCCATATTGCCATGATCCTCTCTGTGGTGGGAGCAACAGGAGTTTAGGAATCAAAAAAGGTATGAAAATTTGAAGATACTGTCTCATTTTTTATGGACTGCATGTTACTCTGGGTATTATAGCTCAAATATGTAAAAAATTACACTGGCTAAACCATCTGTAGTACTTTGTCTCTACTCCGCGATAGTCATTTTCTGCTTGGAAAAAGGGGAATAAACTCTGGCACTAATCTGAGAAAATTACTCCATGGGTGGAGAGAGTAACTGAAAAATTATCATCAAATACACAGCAATGCTTGGCTCTGGCCAAGACAAGTAGGACCTTTAGGAAAGCTTTCTAATTTCCATCCCTACAGTCACACAAAACCCCTAAGAAACAACTGGAGGCCAGTTCTCACCTTTTTGCCTGCTGGAGGAAGATGAGAAATGGCACAGGGGAGCTTTCCTGTGTCACCCCTGACAAGAGGGACTGTTCCCTGTTTCCATTCCAGCACTGGGCTGCACTTGCCAAGTTTTGATTTATTCTGTAGACTAAGAACTTACAGAGGCAGGTGACAGATCAGCTTCTGGCTTCATGAGGAGAACGCTCTTGTCCACAGCACGGACAGCACAGAGGGAGTTCGGGGAGGCTCTGAACAGCAAGTGAGCATCAGAGGAAGGCAGGCCTTCTGAAGGAGAGAAGCTTAAGTCCACCTGTAATCACAGGAAAAGCTATGTCACAGATGCCCTACTCTTGCAGGACTTTTCCTTCCAGTTGAGTGCATTCAGTTCTAACCTTACGAAGTCCCCACAGGCATTCACACCTCCTCCTACACTCCCTCTATGCTACTGTTCCCTTCCTGCAGTGCCAGGGGAATTAGCACTAAGAATTCTTGGCAACTTCAAGCATCACAATTGCTCATATAACTTTTAAGGTCGTTTTGGGTTTATGGTCATTGTGAGCATGATGAGATAATCCCACATAGTGGCTAGGTGTGTTCATGTAACGGAGCATGGTCTTGAACCAGGACAAGTCCCTGTACTGAATCCAGATATTGCATGTGGAGAGAAGACCAGCTTGCAAAGACCTTGCTTAGCAGATTCTTTGGTATGAGAAGCAGTGATGCCCTGGAGCAATACTGCAATATCTGCGGGCTGGTAATGATTCGGAAGAGGTGGCCTGTTTGCTGAGGCCTGCCAGACTTCTGTGTCTAACTCACAACTCTAACAATGCCCTACCTACCTCTGACCTGGAGGTTCTTGCTAGCAAATTTGTTGTCACCACTTATCACATGATTTTGTAATAAGATGGCTGACCTGCATAAATCTTCTCTCTCCTCAGCAGTACAAATCCTCTCTGAACGTGCATGCTCAT